GTTAATAGAGGGGACTGGTTATGAAGCCTGGCAAACATCAAAGGAGCAAACAAAGATGCCAAGATTTATGTTGGAAGGTCCATGACCATGCACAATCTTATGTTTGCACTCATACACTATGCATGAATTACGTAACCAACACGTTTCCATTGGTTAGTTCCCCAGTATGGAGTAAACAACTATTGTGTTTTATGCACGGTCAAGGCCAAAAAAGAGAACAAAAAAATACAAAAAAGAACTTTGACACATTTCATAACCATTCCCCTCCATTAATTATGTACAGATACATGTACTTACAAATTTCTGAGTTTCTGTCTTTAACCATGTACACTGTACATGTAAGAATAACAAACTATAAAATAACCAGTATGGATCCCAACAAATTCTGGAATTTCTTTCAACCTGATCACTAACCTCAGGTTCATTTTCCACCATTTCCAATATTTTTAGTCTCTCTTCCTCTGACAGACCAGACCCTGTTGACAGTTCTGTGGCTATTGGTCTCTTTTTAGAATCATTAGATTGCTGATTGGCATTTTCTCCTTTCTTCCTTTTTGTTCCTCTTTCAGGCTAACAAATAAGCAGGCACAGTATCAGACATACAAACTGGTAGTTTTGAGGTTTTGATTGCGTTAGGAATTAAACATAACCCCTCCTATATAAATTAACCACACTCTCAAGTTTTGCAACTGTTGCCTGTTTTATGGTAAAATGAATGTCTGATAAAAACCCATTCCCTATTTTCCAACTCCCCATAATACAAACTGTTTGCCCCCCACCCCCACCCCCCAAATTTTGCATAAACTATTGTTGTGAAATTCTCTTGGGAGGTCTGCATATTCCCAAGAGCATTTCACAACAATAGTTCATGAAAACTTTGGGGGGCAAACAGAGTGCATTACAGCAACTGGAAAATAGAGAATATACGTCAAGGTATTGTGTAGCGGTATGTACCCAGTAGACACCTTACATACAAGGGATGAGGTATTTTTGAAAGTTTTTCTTTTTTTATTTTGGACATCCTCCAATCCAGTCTGTGACATCCTTTATGTTTGTTTTGGTAATTTAAGATAACACAAACAATACCTTTCAATTGTTCTACTTTAAAATTCTGGTTTAAAGCCCTGCCGGTTATAAGGGAAAGGCTCTGGACCAAGAAAAATAAAAAGGAGCCCAAAGGTTCCTAACCATGAAATCCTGCATGCCCAGCAATTAAACTTATAGGAAAGAAGTAAGATTTTCCAGTCACCCACAGGCAAAAGTTAGTTGCCTGTGGCACCCGGGTACTTCTAGAGCACAGCCCTGAGGCCCATCTATATGTATACATAAAACTATTCCAGTTATAAACACTCAGGATAGAAGGTCTCCTATACTTTTTGTACCTCACTGTTCGGTATTTGCAATTATGAGGAAGCTTCATACAATGACCTCTGTGCTTTGCATACTTATTTCCTTACTTGTGCCTAGTGTTTCTTGTTCCCACAAACATAAAACATCTTTTTATACTGCTGGGTGTTGGGATCATCAGCTTATTTCAAAAGGCCTTTTTTATACCGCTGAAAAACCTCCCTCCAGATATTAAGACCCCCCCCCTCCAAATCCCATCTACAAGCCCACCGGAAAACCCCTTGGGAACTTGAAAAAGCCCAGGGTTAATAACCATAATTTATACATAATTTATACATACATACATACTTTTATGGTATTACTTTGTGGTCTTCCGTTCTACAGTTACCATTTTAGAAAAATGCCGCATTCCTACAGGGGCTTAAAGGGTTATGGCTAGTAGAGAAAAATTTTAGGCTTAGTAAAAACAGCAAATAAGCTTTAAGCTTTTTCCGTACGCTTAATTTTTAGATTTCTATCTTTATCGCCAATAGCAACCGTGCTACAACCTCTACAAGACAAACATAATACCCAACACAAAACTCCACATACCTGAAATGCTAGTAACTCAGAAACATTCATTTTGATGAGGGAAAAACACGGATTTTTCACCAAAAGTGTTGACAACGCGAGAGAAACTTCCAAACGAGCATTTCGAATTTCATGCGCAATCGTAGCTTGCGCCTCCTTCTTTGGTTTGCACCGCTGATCCCAAATCACGCACTCAGTCCAAACAAAATGGCGTCGCGTTCTTCTCAAGTCACAACTCAACCAAGGCTCCATGGCGCCTGCATTCTCCCCGGACATATACTTGTCAACGAAAGATTCCATGGTAGTGAGATCGTCAAAACGCTCCAAGGTTTGTTTGTTGTAATTTAGTTGTTTTGTTTGACAGTAATTGCTCGCGCCTATTTCGCGCCAAAATTTAAATTTGAAAACAACACGACAGAACAATCGCAACTGTTTCAGAGCGTGTAAATCATTATGCTCTTTGTCTTTCTGCCTTGATCAAGACCTAACTTATTACCAACTGTACAATGTTTTATCATTTTGATTCATTCATTGATTCATATATAAATGTGTCTGTCTGACTGACTGACTTGACTGACTCACTCACTGAGTACTGAGTGACTGACAGATGGATAAACAGACGGACAGTCGGACTGACAAATGGATGGACTTGTAGGATGATTGACTGGCTGGCTGATTGATTGTTGTTTTGACTAATTGATTGATTGATTGATTGATTGATTGACTAACTGACAAAATCACTGACTGACTGACTCATTGATTGATCAATTGATTATCTGGTTGTTTGATTAATTGATTTATCGGTTGGACGCACAGATGCATGAATGAACTGACTGACTGACTGATCGACCAACATGGATGACCACCTGATAATGCTTACTTGATGAATAATTAGTTGGTTGTAAACAATTATTGGATGAGGTTTTTGTGATATCTGGAATAATCAAGGTCAAGGTAAGTGTTATCAGCCTCAGCCTTCAGCTTCGGCTGATAACACTTACCAAGACCTTGATTAATTCGGATATCACAAAAACCAAATCTCATAATTGTTTTATTATACATTGTTTTAAAGAAAATAACAACAAATACATTATTGCACCGAACACAGTTTATTTTCCACAAGCCATGTTCTTACGTGAACTTGACATTGCTCTTGGAATCATGCATTGCACGTGCAACCTATGGATTATTTACTAGTCTGCTCGCAGATTAGTGAATAATCTGTAGGTTGCGCTGTTTCCCAGAGTTAACCGTAGGCTTTTAGCCAATGAAAAGACAGATGGTGACTACAATGTACAATAATTTGGTTTATTGTCAGAAAGCCATGTTACTGTTCAAATTGATGACTGCATGGGAATAATAGACTTCAACCCATCATCAGATGTTGGAGTATTGTATCTCACTGAAGCAGATCTAGTGGGTGGATACAATTACAAAGGGAAGCTGCTCAAATTTGCCAAGGTATTGTAAAATTATTTCGGTGGGATGGAGTAAGATTTTTTTGGATTCTCCCATTTAGTATGCTGCAAATTCTAGAAACTATAATAAATTTCTGTCTTTCTTTTTTAACCCTTGCATACACTCTATATCCCNCTGACAGATGGATGGACTTGTAGGATGACTGACTGGCTGGCTGATTGATTGTTGTTTTGATCAATTGATTGATTGGTTGATTGATTGATTGATTGATTGATTGATTGATTGATTGATTGATTGATTGACTAACTGACGAAATCACTGACTGACTGACTCATTGATCGATCAATTGATTATCTGGTTGTTTGATTAATTGATTTATCGGTTGGACACACAGATGCATGAATAGACTGACTGACTGATCGACCAACATGGATGACCACCTGATAATGCTTACTTGATGGATAATCAGTTGATTGTAAACAATTATTGGATGAGGTTTTGTGATATCTGGAATAATCAAGGTCAAGGTAAGTGTTATCAGCCAAAGCCGAAGGCTGAGGCTGATAACACTTACCGAGACCTTGATTATTTTGGATATCACAAAAACCGAATCTCATAATTGTTTTATTATACATAAAAAAAAAAAACAAATACATTATCGCATAACAAATACATTATCGCACCAAACACAGCTTATTTTCCACAAGCCATGTTCTTACGTGAACTTGACATTGCTCTTGGAATTGTGCATTGCACGTGCAACCTACAGATTATTCACTAATCTGCTTGCAGATTTAATGAATAATCTGTAGGTTGCGCTATTTCCCAGAATTAACCATAGGCTTTTAGCCAATGAGAAGACAGATGGTGACTACAATGTACAATAATTTGGTTTATTGTCAGAAAGCCATGTTACTGTTCAAATTGATGACTGCATGGGAATAATAGACTTCAACCCATCATCAGATGTTGGAGTATTGTATCTGACTGAAGCAGATCTAGTGGGTGGATACAATTACAAAGGCAAGCTGCTCAAATTTGCCAAGGTATTGCAATATTATTTCGGTGGGGTGGAGTAAGATTTTTTTGGATTCTCCCATTTAGTATGCTGCAAATTCTAGAAACTAAAATGAATTTATGTCTTTCTTTTTTAACCCTTGCATACACTCTATATCCCAGAGGCTCACTTCCAGCAAACCTGCAATCTGGTTGGCAAGACAACCTCCTATTATCAAGTCATAGAGGGTTCTTACAGTGTGCAGATGGTTTGTCATGCGTTATGGTTGAAACATACAAAATAAAACCAATCATCATTTTTATTGATATTCTATCTTTAATGGATAAGTCACTGGGACTGCCCAACTCTTGACAGCTGACTAAGGTCTTCATGACATCAAACTCACAGTCCAATAAGTAGGATGCCCATGAACAGCCTCTGGCAGAGAATCAAAACAACATTGCTATTTCTTTATCTTTTTCAGGCAACATTTAGAAGAGTTATATTGGCTGAAAAGACATCCCTTAGTTCCCAATACTTCTATGATTTGCAGAAGTTTGTTGTAATTGAGAGGGGACTGGTACTTCTTCCGGTAGCATCACCTGTGGAAGCTGGCAAAATCTTAGCTCAAATGGTAAACTATTGTTTCCTTTCTGATGAACCTCCAGAGGTTTAAACAGTTTCAGTCCCTCAGAGAGTTTGGAATAACAAAACATTATTCAGCAGCAGAGGTTTCATCAACATTTTCAGCAGGAGGGTAGCTGGTTTTCACAGGCAGCGGGGCTCGACACTAACTTTTTAACTTACTAGCCTAGTGGCTAGTGATAACTTAGATGTTACTAGCCAAAACCTTCTTTTACTAGCCAAGCGTTGTGGCTGGCTACCTTATTACATGAAATTTTTTTGACATGATTATTTTGCAATTTGGAGGTGTGCATATTTGGCGACACTTAAATTCGGTGATTTTGCTAAACTTTTGTATTTTGAATCACTTTAACTTCACGTTTTTGAGTAACACAAAATTCGTTTCCTTGGCAATGTTACTTAAACATGTCTTTGAATTTAGTAAATGTTATCCCTTTACAGTTCCGCACTAACAAAAAAGAGCATTGATGTGTGCTCTCAGGAAATGCTGTCTTGTTTGTCAAATATTTCTTTCAACAAAAGTAACATGTTCAGTTCCCCGTTTACGTACTATCCAGCGAAAAGTAGACAAACTTAAATTTACATACATGCTGAACAGCACATGCCCAGTACCATGATATGTCCACGATGAAATTCTGACCTTGTTTCAAGAAAAGTGTAAATTCTGTGTTTGTCTTCCTTGAAGGAGACAGAAACTAGTTCAGCCAATTTCATTTTGTTGACTAGCCAAAACTAAATTTCTACCAGTCTGTGGCTAGTTGGCTACCGTTAGTGTCGAGCCCAGGGCGGGCAAAACCATTTAATCTGAACTTCTTTGTAAGAAAAACTTTCCACTAGATGGTCAAACCAGCCGGTCAATTTGCCTGGTGTCCGGCCTTTAATGGAACCCCTGCAGCAGAAAACTAATTCTTATATTGATGAGTGTGTCATGAGGTTGGGGACTGGGAGACTGTTCATTATTGGACTATACATTGAGGAAGATTACCATGATTATTGGCCGACAGTTGATCGACAGTCAACCGACAG